GGGAAAGCTTGAAAGTAGAAGTTCTAAAAGCACCCTGACCAGGTGATGCTGGATAGTCCTGAGCTCTAACTTCAGAGAATCGGACCCAGTAGTTCTGAAGTCAATGAATCTGCATCCACAATCAACAGACTCTCTCATGGACTTTGTTGCTGTGAACTGATAAAAGAATTTACCAAAACAAATGAATAGGAGAAACAAAAATGTACTGGGACCTTGAGGGAAGTCATACACAGCTGATTGCCATGGCACCAACGGGAGGGTTGGACAGGTTTAGTGGTGGAAAGCCAAAGCAAAACAAAGCAATAGCACCACCCTCCAACAGGAAGGTGGGCAGATTAAAGAAGGCTCACTGAACTGGAAGTCAAGACATAAAGCTTTTTATTGGAGTCTTTAGAGAAAAAAGTGGTGAGCCCTAGAAAACTGGGTTCTTCTCAGGAATTCTCAGAGACTGGTGTGTGTGTGTGTGTGTGTGTGTGTGTGTGTGTGTGTGTGTGTGTGTGTGTGATCATCAACTCAGGTGGGGGAGGGTCGGACAGGTTTCAGGGCTACAGGTCAGCTAGTATCACAAGTCATTCTGGTAACATAAGCAATCTAGTGTGAGATTCTTTATCTGCACCCATTGACAGTTACTTTCTTGTTTTGCCTGGCTCTTTGCCTGGCTCATTTTCTTTTCACCATGCCTCTTTCTGGGGACTTTTCCTGAACAAACATCCCAGCAATAATGATACATGTATCCCAGACCACAATGTATCACTGGCCTAGATCCTCCAGGGAATTTGAACAAGGAGTTTGCATTTACTGAAGGAAAAGGTTAACAAGCCCATGTTACTCACTTTCTGGTACAGGAAAAATGCAAACATACACAGGTGACAGATAGAGAAAAAAACTGAAGGGAAGGAACCCAAGCAAGTAACACCAGCCCAACTGAGATGAGAGGATAGTTATCTCAGGATGGAGCCATTTAGAAATCAAAATAGTATTTCTCTTCTGTTCCTGAGAGTCTAAAAACCAGAAATCTATATTCAGAAAACTTGATTTGGGTCTTATTTTGTTGTTGCTTTAAAAAAAAAAAAGTAATCGGAGTCAGTAGCTTTCTTTGTCCTGGAGCATATCCCCCATCAAACTAAAGGATACTGAAAAACATCTTGGGGTGAGGGGAGCAGACAAATTCACAGATTTAACATTCTACTTACTTCATCAATGAGAACTTTAAACCCATTCCCAACCAGAACCACCTTGGCTGTCTTTTTGATAGTTTGTAGTCCTAGGGAGTGAACTCAGGGCCTCACATTAGTATTTTGCCACTTGAGTTATACCCCTAGTCCTTTTGAGTTTGTTTCTCAAATAAAATCTTGCACTTCTCCCTGAGACTTTTTTAGCCTTGGACTGCTGTCTTCCAACCTTCTCCTGGGTAGCTGAGATTACAGGTGTGTGTCGCCACACCCAGCCCACCCTTTCTTTTGAGGCAGCCTAGTCTTTCCCCCTAGACTCTGGCTAACAGGTCTTACCCGAACCCTGACTCTCCACACAGCTCAGTTTTCCATATCTTCTTTATAATTACCTCTTGTTGGACTGATCAATGCTCCAGTGTTTCTGCCTGACACAGGGATATTTTATGTTTCTGATCTACTTATCAACATATTGTAGCCCATTTAAGGTGCTTATATCTGGATCAGACCTGACCCTAACCTTGTGCCAAAAAGGCTATTTTCAGATACAAAAAGAAAGTGTTCTATTATGTAGCAGCCTCTAGAAGTTCCAATCTATGCTGCTCATATATCTTTTTGATTTGGCCTGTAGACACACAATAGTTTTTCTTCAGGCACTGAGCCTCAGCCTCTGTTTTGCCTCATTTTTTGTAATAGGTTTTATATACTAGTTGGTCATCTGTCTTTTTAACTTCTACTCTAATGCCTGTCTCTTGTGCTAGGAAAACTAGATGCATGAGCCCTGAGAAAGCCAGTGCTGAACACATGGCTTTATCGACATCAGGTAGAAACTAATGGTAGGTTGCTATTATTCTCCCATTTACCACAAAAAAAGGAAGACAGCATCAACATGCCAAAACCACATTCATCCTGGATGGCATATGTCATCTAACATTTAATTGGATTACATCTAACAACTCCATATAGTATGACAATTCATCAGTTACCACCTAAGGTTACATTGGAGGTATCCACCAATAAGATAAATTACTTAAATTTAAATACCAGAGGAATACTTTATTAAGGTTTCTTAATGTTTGCTGAATGCAAATATCAGCTGTTAAAATTTTCCTGGCTAAAATTATTAGGGCCAGAGGCTGTCTGCCAGACATCGTGTAACAAAGTTCCCATAATTAAATTCTGAAGAAAATATTAGCTCATCCCCATGACTGGAGATTTGGGATAGCCTTTTCTAATTAAGACGTATCTCCTGGATGCATTCTTGAACTAGGAAAAATTTTAAAAAGCATCAACTTCTCTTCTGCTTAGCTGAAGAGATCTGCCCTAATTCAACAATGGAGAATATCTGCACCTACACTTTTTTTGCACAGGAAAGTGCCTCCTTAATGTATGCACTCCTAAATGCTTTCAAATCAAGTAAGAACCTGATGCCCATGTATAATCCCAGCACACAAGAGAGGGAATCAGGAATAGCTTGAGTTCATGGCTAGCCTGAGTTACATAGGGAGAACCTGTCTCAAAAAAAAAAAAATCAATGAGAGCCAGGTGCTGATAGCTTATGCCTGACATCCTAGCTACTAAGGAGCCAGAGATTTAGAGGATGACAGTTCAAAGCCTCCCAGGAAGAAAAATCCACTAGACTCCGTATGCAAAAGAACCAGCAAAAAACAGAGCTGGAGGTATAGCTCAAATGGTAAAGCCAGCTCAAAGCCTTGAATTTAAAAATCTTAGTACCACTAATAATAATTATTATTAATAGTTCAATTGGGGGAAACAATATTCATAAATTAAAGCTTTTTGTTCATCCTCTGTAAATCTGATCAACATACAACAGCCTAATAATAAAAATAGCAAGTAACTAGTAAGAGAGCTTGCATGATCTTATTTGACTCAGCTGTTTGAGTAGATTACTATTATTTATCTCACTTCATGGATAAGAAAATTGAGGCACAGAGGTTATGCTACTTGAGATCACTGATAAGTTATAAATCTAGAATTCATATCTGCACAATCAAATCCCAGAACCTTTGTGGTTAATCTTTCACATCCTTTCACTTACATAATGATTTGTTGTGCAGGGAGCCTTCTTTCATCCCTGGATCTGGCCCTATGGAAGAACTATAGTTGTCCACCCAGTTCTGAAAAGTCATGGTAATGGGTGTCCATCCCTAAAGGAAACACAGCCATCATCTTTGAGGAATCTATTTCTGAAAAAGAGCAAAGTGGACTATGGTAAATGCATTTTAACACTGAATGGGAGAGCAGATTCATGGGTCTTTCTGTTTTGTTCCTGAAACTAGAATAATGATAGTGTAAACTATCAAAATCCAAGAGCTGAGGATATGGTTCAGTGGTACAGCACTTACTGAGAATATACAAAGTCCTGAGTTAGACTCCCAACATCAAAATTCCAACATCTGACTCCTATGAAAGACTGGCTATCTGGCTGTATGTATCAGAGAGAATCTCTACAGTAGATGGTAGCAGAGAAGAGAGTGTTGGCTTTTTGCAAGACAGCAAAGATTAGCCTGAACTCAGAAAGCTTTGGTTTCTGAGCATCACTACAGAAGTCAATCACAACATATAATGCAGCTCAACTTCAGAAAACTCAAATCCACTCAAGTAAGCAGGGGCTTTATTGATGCATAGTCCTGGGAAGTTTAGATGTAAATTTTGTTTCAGACAAAGCTGATTCTGAGAATTAACGTAGCTAAGGATCCATCACTCTGTCAGCTTCTTAGCTCCTCTCATTTAACATAGTTTCTTTGCTCTCATTTCTCTCCATGTGGCACACAAGATGGCTCCCATTCTTCATCTTGAAATTCCAAGGGAAAGCAAGGTTCCTTACCAAAGTCCATAACACAATTCTTGGGAAGATGATAATTTGACCTACTAGGAACCTGTAACCAACCAAAACCAAACCTGGCTCACTGGTCCACTCTTCTGGCCTGGTTAGAAATGTGAGGTTAGAGAAGAAACTCACAGTTTCACACATGCAAAGAAAGAGTTTTCAAAATAATATAAAATTAAGAAAGCACTGAAAGCAAATAAAACCATTGCTATTTAAGTCATTGGCAGTAACAACTGAAATAATATATCTATAAGCCTCATTTTGTCCAGAAAATAAAAACAGGCTGTTTCTGCTACAGAAATTTTTATTGCTTTTCCAGAGTGCTTTAAGAAGGGAGGCAGTAAATTCCTGAGGACAGAATTAGATAGAAGACCAGTACACATTTCCCACCTCAAAGATGTATTTATCTTGTAACTTTTTTCAAAAATGTACTTCTCCTTTCTGGGTGTCAATGTTCTCACCTCTGTGAGAGTAAAAATAATATATGAAATTCCTCCGATTAAAAAAATAGGGCCAAGCACCAGTGGTTCACACTTGTAATCCCAGCTACTCAGAGGGCTGAGATCTGAGGCTGGCAGTTTGAAATCAGCCCAGGCAGGAAAGTCTGCGTGACTTTTATCTCCAATTAACCACTGAAAGGCCAGAAGTGGAGCTGTGGCTCAAGTGATAGTGCACTAGCCTTAAGCACAAAAACTCAGAGTCTGTGCGCAGGTCCTGATTTTTAGCTCCAGGACACACACACACACACACAGAGAGAGAGAGAGAGAGAGAGAGAGAGAGAGAGAGAGATAAGCAAAAACATCTGCAATTATGATTCTTGTGGATAAAGCATCCCAATGTAGTTCACAAGTTCCCAAGCCAAATACTTAAATTACATCCTCTGTGACCTGTTTACGGAGAATGCTTGCAACATGTACCTGAGACACAAGGCTCCTGAGGTGAAATCCTCGTGAGGCACATTCAGGACCCAAGACAGTGTGTCAGGGCCACAGCTGAGGTTTAATAAACACTTCACCATTTGCCTTATACTTCAATGACTGCCAGTTCAGAACAGTGGGGCTGAGGGTCCCACCAACATACACTGTGTTGATCTCATCTGGTGATAACACAAAGTCCCACATGTTCACATTTCCAATGTCACCCACCAAAGATTGGTTTGTATCAAAGCTCCCGCCAAACGAATCCTGTTCTTGTCCCAGGATAATGCTTGCCTCTGGCTGCACAGTGTATCCCTTGTTCAGACTCATCCTGACCCTGGGCCTCCCATCTACCCAGAACTCTGCAATCCCGGTGACAGATTCCCAGCTGGCACAGATATGGACTGGAGCCTCAGGAATTTCAGCAGCCTTGAATAATACTTCAGGCCCACCCACACCAAAAGCATATCCTCTATTCTTCGACCAAAATATGAGGATCTCATTAGGTTGTTTCTTGGTGGCATAAGAGAAAATGCTGAACCCACGGGTCTTGCTCAGCTCAGTGTACATCTGGAGGCACACAGTGAAGGCTTTTAGAGGTTTCGTTAACTGTCCTTCCAAAGATACGTAAGAATTATCTGTCTCTTTTGGAAATACGAAGGCCTTCTTAGATAGGTCTGTGAGACAGAAAAACAAGTAGAAAGGAAAAAGTTATCAGATCAAAAGGTTTGTCCCTTATTTACAAATACAATTCGGGATCAAGAAACAAACTGACCCCTTTTCCTGGCTACAGCATTACACACCTACTCCTATCCTCCAGACCAAATCTCTAGCATAGCATAAGTAGCCCCTACCTGTCTGGCCAAAAGCATCAGAGAAGCTAATGGAGACCAAGAAGCACAAGAGCAGCTTCTCCATCATCCCTGCTGCCATGGTTACGAGGTCTGGGTTTATGCCCTTGGAGAAAATGTCTTTGTCTGAAAGCTGAGGAACTAAATCCCCCGGATTCCTTGCCTCACACCTACCTATCCTACTTGGATTTATATCCACAGCAAAAGAGGAGTCTGTACCTCTTTGTAAATGATTTTCTAACACTGCCTCTTGGGCAAATGTCAGGGCTCTGGTAGGAAGGGAAGCAAAAATCATTCTGGGACAGAGAAATCAATGTGGGTTATTTATTACGAATTCCTGTGACTACTGAATTGCCAATTCAAAGTGAAGAAACTGCCCAATGTTCCGCTTTGGCTCCCTATCCTTTGAGAACAATGGGAGATCTTAATTTAATGCACAAATGGCCTTCTATGTGCATGCGATCCCTGCATCTTTAATACTACCCAACTCATAGAGTTCACTTGGTGGAGGAAGGATGACAGCTTATGGAGATGGACATAATCATTAACCCCTGTCAGGAGCTGCTTGTTTTCAGATTAGGAAATGAAGAAAACAAACATATCATTCCCTGAGCCAAGAACAAATTTTTCTTGGCCAGTTGAGTATATTTATTCAAAGATCTTCAGTCTAGGAAAACATGTATCTAATCACAAATGTACCATTGTGTCAGAATTTCTTCAGATTGTTTTCTGAATATATGAAGCTTTAGGGAGGATTCTGAGTGACTTGTATTTCTTTTATTCATAGAATTCAAGCTGTCCCTCTACACTGCCTAGCAATCTTGCTACAGTTGTTACCTAATTCACGCTTCTAAATGCCTACTTTACTTCTTTCTTTGTCTCCAGAAACCCTAAAAATTTTATCCATTCTCTCATTCAGCTGATGAAATACATTATACCATACATGCATAAAATATAATAATCATAAAGCACATTAAAATATCTTTTTCCATAAAAGTAATCAATTAGGCAATATAATATGTGAAAGATCCCAGACACAATACCAGTATAACTCATAGAAACCTGGAAGTAAATCTAACAGAAATGGACCTTTTGATTTAGAGATTATTATAAAATATTTAAGGATATAAAATGAGTAAATGGGAAGGTTATCATATACATTGAGTGACTCAAAATCCTAGAGATACTAACACTCCTTAGATTGATGTAGGTGTTCTATTAAATATGTCCTTTCTCTATAATCTTACTGTTCTATTTCTAGGAATATAACCTACAAAAACTCCATCTGAGACATGTATAAGGAAATTCTTCACAGCCTTGCTTGTTGTGGGGATGGGCAGGAGATGAAATTTAAATGTCCATCAATTGAGAAAATACTTAATTATGAAGGAATCATTTGTCTCAGTTAAAAAGAAAAATATATATCCATCCTGTTTTGTAACAAATCAAGTGCAAATGGGGACATGCTTCATTATAATATGTAAACTATAGATGTAGAAATTAAAGAATGATGTTAATAGAACATAGAGGCTGTGTTCATTCCTATGTCTTCTCTCCCAACAGGTGAACAATGAAGCAACAAAGACCATAATTTCTCACGATTAAAGAGAAATCCTTTGTAATATGCGAAGGTCTTAATGAAGAAGCTTAAATGTCTGCCTAAGCGCTGTCCGTTCATAATGATACATGGTTTGGTAGCTGTGAAATTTGCTCTGCATTCCACAGTGAAGCTATATTGTAATGCTGCAAGTGTTGAAGAATACACTGCCAAGACATTTCTCTCTGTGTTAAATAATAATAATAATAATTGTTGATGACTGAAAGACAATCAGATTTTAAATTTTGATGAATCCAGCCTCTATGGGAAATGATAGCCCTTCAAAGAAAGACATCTCAACGGAGGTGATAAGAGCCCTGGACTGAAAGGCTGCAGCCTCGTTAATTGTGAAACTGGTGAAAGTATCTGTGAAGCTTACACTACAGTCATAAGTCCATCAGACTGTGGATGTTCATATTAAGCCTCTGATACACTGTTGCATAGGCTTTTGAATGGCCTGCCTCTAATTATCTATGGATCTAATTATCCCACCAGCCCTGCCATTTTTAATGCACAATTATGCACACCAGGAAGATTTCTAGGAATACATATATCATATTGGAGCACAAGTGTATTTCAAAACAAGATAGATCTCAAAAGTAATATTAAATTATGATAAGCTACTTAAATTATATCTCACATTCAATTTTAAAAATTCAAAACAATCGGGGCTGGGAAGGTGGCTCAGTGGTAGAGCACTTGCGTTGCATGCATGAGGCCCTGGGTTCAATTCCTCAGAACCACATAAGCAAAAAGAAAAAAGCCGGAAGTGGCGCTGTGGCTCAAGTGGTAGAGCGCTAGCCTTGAGCTGAAGAGCTGAGGGACAGTGCCCAGGCCCAGAGTTCAGGCCCCACAACCATACTCCCCCAAAAAATCAAAACAATCTTCTACAGCATACATAAATACATATCTAGATATCTATTGTGCTTATAAGTATTAAAAACAATGAATAATTCATTCCAAACATAGTCTACTATAGAGAGATGTATCAGACAAAACCAAATACTTCTCAAAACTATCAAGGTCATGAAAAAACAAGAGAAATCTTAGCAGCTGTCACAGTACAGACTAAAAAGACACATGAGGAAATATAATGCAGGATCCTGCATTGCATCCTTACACAGGCAAAGATCATTAGTATGAAAAATGGAGAAACCTGGGGAAAGACTGGAGTTTAGTTAACAGTAATGGACTAATGCTATTGTTCAGCTCTGACAAGTGTGCCCTGGCAATGTAAAACGTTACTATTAGGGGCAATTGGATGGAAAGCTAATGGAACCCCTATATTATATTTGCAACATATCTACAAATTTAAAACTATTCCAAATAAAAAAATCATTAAGGAAACGTGTTGTGTTCAAACTCTGTAAGAAATACAACATCATTTCATTACCATGCTTGCCTCTGGGACAAAAGATAAAGCTTTTTTCAAATTACTTGAGTGGTGTGTGTGTGTGTGTGTGTGTGTGTGTGTGTGTGTGTGTGTGTGTGTGTGTGTGTATGGTACACACACACATATATTATACAATTTCTAATTCTTAGTAGGATCATTTTTCAAAATAAAAATACAATTGTAAAACACAAGACTATTTTTATGTAACCATTAGAGAAATGTAAGTACATTCACCTTCCAAACTACTCAAGGGAGGAAGTAGGAATGTTGAAGTTTGCAAAACGTGTGTCAGTGCACTGCTTGATTCCCTTGCTGTCTGTGTTCTCAACCAATATAGAAGTCAGAGAAATAGAAATTAGAGATTTTGAAACCCAAAGGGACTTGGTTGGTAAAAATGGCTTAATACCTATACCTAGAAATGACAGCTTTAATCACCTAGTCCCAGGTCATGCTAGATCAGCTAACTTCCCATCACTGGAGCAATGTTTAAATTGTCAAAGTTGCCACATGTCCCAAAGCAGATCCAAATATTTGTTATCATCAGGCAGGACAAACCTCCAACACACACAGACTGAGACAGACAGACAAAGACAGAGACAGAGAGACAAATAGGGGGAAAGCAGGACGGAGTGACTTGCATGAGTTCAGTATGTTATCCCAAAATCATCAATGGATAGGTCTCTCTTCCCAGGGGCCTACTGGTAAACCAGATCTCCGGTACAAAACCCCTGATGTGTAAGTTTCTGTGGTGTAAATATGCCCACTATGGTTGGTTTCAAGATGCTCATTTGCTATCACTGAAAGCAGAGCTGAGAAGAACTGTGCAGGGCACTACTTATCTCCCCTATTCCAGAAAGAGGAATTCATGTAAGAGAAACATGGCCGGGGAGTTTTCTCTAAGGCTACTTCCATCAAAGAGTAGGGTATAAACATTTTATCCAAAAATAGCTCTGCTTTCTGTTCATTTTATCCATCAGGATCAATCAATGACCAAAGATAAGACGATCGTTGGTACTCTTTTAAAATCCATCATGACTGTTGCTAGTTAATGTGAGTCAGAGCAATAGGTTAATTAAATTAACTATAAGTCCATGAGAAAATTTGCTCCCTATTATTTTCTGGACCCAAATTAATTGTAGCCATATTCTCTGATATAGTTCCATCAAAAGTTCTGCATTGAAATTAAATGACAATATTCAGTAATGAATGTCAATAACACATAAATTCCCCAAATCTTAAGATAAAATCTTTTCATTATTAAATTCTAAGGAGGGATTAAAAAATCCAAAAATAAAATTCCCTTGTAAGTAAAGTCCAAATGAATTAAAGTCTAAAGACAAGTTGTCTCACCCTTGTGTGTTAAAAATCCAAAGACATTAGACTCAAAATGCCTCCTTCTCAGTTTCCAGTTTTGCTTGTCTCAGAGAGTCATACCACATAGTCTCAAAAGTCAGCTTCCTTCAGCCTCTGTAACCTGTGGGGGTTTTTTTGCTAAATGAGGTACGGTTCCTTCAAGTCCAATAAAGTTGAATAAGCCCTTCCTTTAAAGTATTCCATGAGTTTAATGGGACACACAAGATCATCACACCACTGACTCCACACCACACAAATATCCAATACAAGCTAATATCACTCTCACTAAATCAAACATTGTACAAAATGATTTCCCCCAAAGTTCAGGATCCAATGTTTCCAAAGGCAATAATAGCAACTCCATAATGCCTAAGAGAATAAGAATGGCTGAATAAAATCTTGTGAGGTTTTTTTTTTATTTCAAGATGCCAGTGAATTATGTCAGTTTCCCTGAGTCTATAAATTCACTTGGGAGAAGTCTTGGATTCACTGAGATTTAATTGAGGGATTAAGTCTATGAATTTACCCATCTAACAGGACACCACCTCATCATCTGTTAACCTCCTGAACTGTTTAGAAAACTGCGAGGTTGACTCTGCTGAGCACCATATCTGGATCTTCCCTGATGTGGGTTTCTTCTCCTTCCTACATTATCACAAGCTCTTGATTCCCACCTGTCCCTTTTGGACTTTGTTTCTGACACTCCAGAGATTTCTCACTGACA